ACGAAATCTGCACTTCGAGGTTCACCATGCGCTGTGCCAGCCACGAAATCTGCACCTCGAGGTTCACCAAGTGCTGCACCTGCAACGAAATCTGCACTTCGAGGTTCACCAAGTGCTGCACCTGCCACGAAATCTGCGCATCGAGGGTCACAGAGCGCTGCGCCTGCCACAAAATCTGCACTTCGAGGTTCACCAAGTGCTGCGCCTGCCACGAAATGTGTACCTCGAGGTGCACCAAGTGCTGCACCTGCCACGAAATCTCCACATCGAGGGTCACAGAGTGCTGTGCCTGCCACGAAATCTGTACCTCGAGGTTCACCAAGTGCTGCACTTGCCACGAAATCTGCGCATCGAGGGTCACAGAGTGCATGCCACAAACTCTGCACTTCGAGGTTCACCAAGTTGAGGTTCACCAAATGCTGCGCCTGCCACGAGCTCCTCATTATTGGCGCCATCGCAGTGTCACAGGACATCCACATACAAGCACCAACATCCATCGCTGCAAAATGACCCCGAAAAGTTTGGGATCCATTTTGTAGAACATAATTTCAAGAAATTCCAAGGATGTGCTTCTATAAAATCAGTGTTCTTAGCTCCCCCCCGTGGAGCTATATTCTGGATGAAGTGCAATGGCCCTAAAATATGTCCAACGTTTGCTGCTATAAAATCAGTGCTGTGGACATAACTTTAGATGGCATCAAAGGGGTCCTGACCCCCGTGGACATAATTTTAGATTACATCAAAGGGATCCTGACCCCCCTGTGGACATTTAATGAAATGTTTTTTCTTTTTCAGATTTACTGTTTTTTGTTTTTGCATTTAGTAGTTCTTTTTGTTTTTTTTTTTAATTTTTTTCTAGAGTTATGCCAAGTGGTTAACATACACGTTGCGCTACCGTGAGTCTCTTGAACAAAATGCTCGTTTTATGCAGTTCTTTTTGGGGGGGTCAGGGGTAGTGATTTTATAGAAAAATTGTGTTCGCACTGCTGTTTTTGTGAGGTGGCAGGCACCTCGCTTCTCATGGTTCAAAATATAGAGAATCTAGAGGTCAGGCTCCCAAAATATAGAGAATGTAGGGGTCCAGGTCCACCGTTTTATGTTTATAAAATCACGACCAGGACCCCCCCCAGTGGTATTGCAACATACATCCTATGGCCAACAATCCTTTAAAATGTCCCTTCCTAGCATCAACGAGATAATTCTTTGGCTAGTAGAGCTATGGCGAAGTCTAAATTTCAATTCAGGATGATTTAAGTTCAGGAAAGCAGTTTGATGTACATTAATATTGTCATACTTGTTGCAATCATTTTCATAAATGAAATGTTCTTCGAACATATTTCACTGAAATTTCACTTCAAAAACTACTTCAAAAAATTGTTTACTCAAACATGAACAAACTGAAATACCCAAAAGAGTGAGCAAAGAAGTAAAATCAGCCATTAGCAACGAAAAAACACGCCATGGTGCGCATACCTTCTGGATTGAAGATGGAAGATTGCACCCAAAGTCCTGGCAAAATCTTCAATCTTCAATCCAGAAGGTACGCGTACCGTGGCGTACTTTTCTCTATCCTCAATCCACTCTAAGTAGTGGAGTCTTACTTTTCTGTTTTTTCTATACCCATTGTGTATATATATATACACATATGGTATCCCATGTGGAGAGTGTTCAACACAACAATTTGGAAAAATGTCGCAAAAATTAGCACTTTAAACATGATACTAAACCACTTTAATTTACAGTACAAAACACACATTGAGTGGGTATTGGAAGGGGGGTGCCATATGTATACATGCTTTCTCGAGGAAACCCGTCTTGCCCTGGCAGCTTGATACGCACAGGCGACGAGAAGGTGTCCAATGTTTCAACCGACCAGTCGCCTGTCCAAGGAGAGCGTCAAAACGGACCCTGGTTGACTCCCGAAATGAACTCACAATGAGGAAAAAGGGAACCCCAACCTGGGTTTCAAGGCAACCTTGCCCTTCCCCTCTGCGGGCCGGCATGTGTGAGGACAAGAAGAGCCTGCTGGAAAGGATGTCGATGGCAAGAAATCCTTTCCCTACGTGTGCCTTGTTCAAGGATGCAAGAACACTAAGCTACGTTGGCCTTCAGTCTTGAGCGTAGCTACTCCTTGCTACTATAGGAGGTAAGATGTTTACTATCCTACCTCACAGTTTTTTTGTGTTAGTTTTTGGTGTTCTTGGTGTCACGGGTGTTCTGGGAACAACGAGGGGGGCGCCTCCAAGGACACCAAGCCTTGGGTGAGCCGGCCAGAATCCGTTGGGTCTTTTCCAAGTATGTCAATGCCCGTGAGCTTGCATGGCTTTGCGTACGAAACTTCAGCCGTCAGTCTGGCTGCACAAATCTTTATAGGCGGCCCGGGCCACCAGCAAAACGTCTCATGATTGTTTCAGTTTTTTTGGATTGGCAAGGTTTGTTTCGATTGTCTGCCGGAGCTTTTCCGTGGTGATTCAGGGAGGTTTTGGCAGGGGCTCACCTGGCTGAAGCTTGTCACCCTATTCCTGGCAGCTGGCGAAGTCCATTGATGTCAGGGGAAAGACTACCGAAGAACGAATTGAAATTGAAAAGCTCCAGCTGTGCGATCAGACTCAAGGATGGCCTATATGCACTGGATTCGATCTAACTGGGATCTAGGAGGCTCGTTGTCATCGTGGGAAGCCACTTCGGCTCCGGGTCCAACAGCCGGAGTTGTAGCTCCAGTTGTCTATTCTCTCCACACTTCTTATCTCAGGAGCCTCCTTCCTTGCCGTTCTCGTGTGTGAAAACGTCTGAAAACAGTGCATGATTTGTTGCGCCGAAACAAACAGTGCATCTGGCCAGGACGGAGTTCTTGCGCAGCCATGGCCAAAAAGAAGGCGCTTTGGACGTGAAGTGCGTTCTCTGAAGCAGTTCAGAGCAAGGGTTAGTCCCAGACACGAAGAATTTATCAGAACACTATGTTACTATATAGAAAGGTAGCCAGCGGTTTACTTTTTTCTATCCATGAACTCTTCCTTTTGGATTTTTCCTTTCCCTTCTTCCTACGAGACGGGCCATGTGTGTCGCCGTCCTCGTGCCTTCGCCAGGAGCCGAAGCCGGTGGTGGTCGGCCGCTGAGTTGGCCGGTGGTGGAAGAACGCGGCGTGGACCAAGCTCGCAAGACCAACCGGATCCGCTCGCTGAGGACCAGGTCATGCAATGGCTGGCGGTGCTTTCTGGGGTCCTCGGGCTGATTTGCTTGGTGCCAAAGGTTCCGTCTGGGCCTCAGGATGGTTCCATCATGCCTCCATCCAGCGGTTTCTCGCGCACCGGGGGTTTTGCTTGGTATTGGTCTGAACAATAGATTATAATAGAAGTGGACTGGTATCAAAACTATGAAGAAAGATCCCCAGCCCAGGTTCATTCACATGAAGAATCTCAATGGTGAATTTGTGGCCCCTAAAGATAGAGCAGAAGCAATTGCCACGTATCTCCAGGACAAACATTGGACAAACCGCACTAATGTGCCTGTCGAAAATTCTGCGATCATCCAAGACCTGACGAATCAGTTTGATACTGGGCATTTCACTATGGCTGAGTTTGATGTGGCTCTGGCTACGACCAAGATGTATAAACAACCAGGACCTGACAAAATCGTCATGGAACTATTCAAATGGATGAACAATGAAAACATATCTTGGTTGCTGAGGCTGATAAATTTCTGGTGGGATAACAAGGTCGCCCCCAATGACCCGGGTCGTACCGATATATAAGAAAGGTGATACTGATGAACCTTCCAACTATCGACCAATTTCTCTGTTGAATTCTTTCTACAAAATCTACATGATTGTGATCAGAAAACGTCTGCAAACCGTTTTGGAGGATGTTCTGACTAGGACACAATATGGGTTCAGACCTTCTAGGAGCACTTCTCACGCCTTGTTCCTCACTCGAAGAATGCAGCGAAACAACAAGGTTCTAATCTAATTATCACTTTTCTTGATTGGGAAAAGGCATTTGACAAGGTACAGCATGATAAGCTATATGTGGCGCTACGTAGACTTGGTGTCCATGAACATTTCATTGATGTGATAAAGAACTGTTATTCAGACCCGTGTTTCTTTGTCGAAGATGAGTTTGGCACATCCTCAACTAAACGGCAGACGGCCGGAATCAGAGAGGGCTGCCCTGCCCACTAATGAGTGTAGTTGACCATGCTATTTCTCATAGTCTTGATAGGCGCACCATTAGGTCAAGAAAGGCCGGCATTGATTTTGATAGAGTCTACTACGCCGATGATACTGTTCTGCTCGCCACTAATACTTACACTGCCAACCGAATACTATGGGCCGTAGAAAGGATTTCGAAGCAGTTTGGACTCCTGCTCAACAGGGTAAATGTTCATATATAGCGATGGAAACAAAGTGATCAGGTTTCTGATGGGACCAGACTTACGAAATGCACTGAATGTACGTACCTAGGTCATCACATCACCCAGTCACTGAATATAAGACAGGAAGTGGGTCAAAGAATGCAGCAAACCATGAAAACATGGTTCAAACTCAAACCATTCTGGCAAGCAGCAAATTGCCCCCCTAGATGGAGGCTTCGTGTCTATCATGCGGTAATCCAAAGCAAACTTATTTATGGGTTGGAAAACGTTCACCTTACCCAAAGCATGTTACAAAAAAAAATGCATTTCACCTTCGTGGCCTGAGATCGATCTTGGGACTGGAGACCACTTTTGTCAATCGAAGAAACACAAATGAGTTTGTCTTGAGAACTGCTTCTGAACACGCTGGACAACAAATCCGAGCTGCATTAGCTGGACATATTCTTAGAACTCATGAAGGTGATCCATTAAGACAAGTCACTTATGCGCCCAGTTCTGCAAGCGGTTTTCCCATTGGCAAGAGAAGGGTTGGAGGTCCGAGACAGCAATTGCGCCATTTCACACACACACACACACATCTGGGATAACTTTTCGGACGAACGGACGGAGTATGAAAACACGGGTCAGGCAAAAGCAAAAAATGTATCAGATGGCTCTCCATCGTGGGCCTACGGACACTTTAGTGCCCACGGCGGAAAAAAAAGAAGATTATACATGATTATACTAGATGCCTTTTATGTCCTTGGTTGGTTGATGAATAGAGGGGATACCCACAAACGTAGAGTCGATAGGTCTGATAGGTATACGGTACAAGACTGACCTCAATCTCCAAAAAGCACTTCACTGGTCTGAACACGATCAAGGAATTCTGCGGCGGCATCTTACAGCAAACATGTTTGGAGTGCATATGAACTTCCGAATTGAAACACTCTAGCCAAAGAGTTGTCGAAGTCGAAAGAAGTTGGGGAGGGGGTGACGGCACCGCGGTTCTTGGAACAGTTTGGAACCTACACCCGATGCGGTCCTAAGGTACCGCTATGCGGAAGTCTTTACGGGATACCACCAGAGGCGGCCGGTTTTGTGCGAAAAAAGAGGGAATGCTGCCAGGAGTTCATTTCGCTGGTATTGGTTTGGCTTGGGGTTTGATGTTTGCGTGCTTTTGAGAAGTAGCAGGTTCCCTTTGGCCAGACAGTATTCTCTTTTCGGAGCCACTGACAAGTTCGGCAAGACCGCCAAGCCCTGAGCATTTTGACGACGATGGAGCCTGGAGTCTTTACAGATCCCAATGGAGGTCTCCTGGTTCAGAATGCAGAAGGAGACTTGCCGGATGAAGGATGACGGAGTCTCAGGATGTCACCGGAGCCCTCCCTTGTTTCAGCTGCCCTCGCACTTGTTCAAACCGAATCCCTCACCTGCGACCTTGGGCGAACTTGAGGAATTGGCAAAATCGAATCCCTTGCTGGTGCGAAACTTGAAGCAAGACATGTGTGTCCGAAACAGTGGACCAGTTGTGTTCCCTTGATGTTCCAGGGAAGAACCCATTTTTTGGCTTTGGAACGTCTCCTATTCTGAGACAAGTCATCATGTGCAGATTGAGTGGCAATTGAAGATCTTGGCCTCAGCCGAGACGGTGCTGAGGCTGTAGCAGGTGGTCTTGCCGCCAAGAAGTCTGGCGTTGGCGGAGCCGCTGCTGGTTGCATGTACTGGGACCTTTGCAAGGCTGGTTGGGCCGTCACCCTCAAATCGCCGATATAAATCTGTTGGCCAACATCTTCGGTTCTCGCAACCACAACTACTTTCGCATCATGGAGACGTGCGAGTGAGAGTTGGACAGTACATGCTCCGTCCTCATCTCGTGCTTGTATCTGTCAACTATCCCTGTGGTTGAAGCCGGCAACCCCCGCATCCGTAGATCAGAGCACCCTAAACCTTTTCCTCGGACCAATCCTTTGGCAGGCGCAATTGACGGTCCGCTGTATGGAATATGCCACCATGAGCATCATGAGTGGCTCTGCTCAGCATCGATTCAGTCCAAACTGGATGGTGCTGTGGTGCCTCCAAACTGTTCAAACCGCCCCTTGGGAGCTTTTTCCGCTGCCCAGGTATCCTGGCCATGCTGCTGCAGCTCATTGGAGGCCGTTTCTTTTTATTCCAGGTCACCAGGAACAAGCAGGGACAAAGGGAGGTTGATACTACCGAGCTCTGTGCCCATGGTCTGTCAGGCTTTTTGGGGGGCGTCCTGCAGAAAGGGCGTGTGTTAGTTTGATTTTTTTTTTCCGTGAATTGACTCTCAATACTTCATCGATCCCATGGTGAATGTCCATCCAAAAGATCAGAACACCGTCGAGTCGTCCAAAAAAGCACTGGGTCCCGCCGGTCAGTTGGTGCGCTGCTTTGTGTACCGATGATGCTGAACGGAGAAGATGCGGCTGGAAAGGAGAAGAAGGCCGGAGCCCAAGGGAGTTTGTTTGATGTTATATATAAGTGTATATATATATATATTTTTGTTTAACGTTGTTTGATTATTTATTTATGTATTCATTTTTCTATTTATTTACAGTATTTATACAGACTTTTTCTTTTTTAAATCGTCCTAGGCTTAGACATTTCGTTTTTCTTTTATTCTTCTTTAAGCCTTTCTATTTTTCTTTTTCTTTTTTAGACCTTTCATATATTGTTTTTCATTTTTAGACCTTTCATATTTTGTTCCTTCATATTTATTGTTTAGACTCGTTCTATCCTTGTTTCCTCTTTTTTTTCTTCTTTTGCTTTTAGACATGTCTTCTTTAGATTTTCCTTCCTTTTTTAGACCTTTTTTTCTTCTCCAAAGATGCCCAACGGAGTCCTGCCTTACGGCGAGTGGCCGCTGTGATTGGCTGACACTTCGACGGTGCCGAACGGCGCTGCGTGCCGCATGGCGCTGCGTCTTCAGGGTTCCAAAAAGGAAAAGGCGAAGAAAGCTGCGATCATGGGCACCATGAACTGTGCGATTGCTGGAGGTGTGCCAGTGCCTTAGGAACGTCGGCCACTTTTTGGGGGGCGAACGGCACTCGAAATGACACTGCTGTGCATTCTGTCGCTGCGACCTGAGGCTTCCTTTCCTTTCGTGGGTCCTGTACATGATGTTTGAATCCTAGATACCCCAAACTCCAGGTGCAAACTCCTAGGTGTTCAGTGCACTTCTCTTTTGTAACAAGGTCCACAGCTAGTATGTTTGAGACCTTGAAGACAAAAGAGCCCGAAGCTCGGTGCTGCAGTGCGAACATGGCCTTGATTTTTCAGGATTTTGCGTGGTCAGACTGAAGGCTTTGCAGATTCGTGCGAACATGTCTTACACCCACTTCAGGGCTTATGCCTACGGCTACGCCTATGTTGGCTCCTACCTAGCTGTGATTGGTTGGGTTTTTGGACTGATTGGTGGAGGCCTCAGCAATTGGACTCGACTGGTCAAACGAGACTTGAGACATTTGACCGAAGGACGCCCTGGCGCGTGTTCGGTACGAGGTGCACTCCTCGCATGGCGTCGCTTCAGTAACTTTGGGAAGGCACTGCGGTTGCTGCTTGTTGGTTGGTCTGAAACGCATGCCGAGTTGGCAGAAAAAGCGAAGGCAACACAAATAAGTCGGTGCTAGCCTTTTTTGTTTTTGGGGCGAGAGGTAGAGCATTCGCCTTGTAGTGCGCCACTAGCACTGGCACAGGAAAAGGAGAAGGATGAGGATGAAGACACCTCCGCTGCCAATGCTGCCATGCCATCGGACTGCTGAACAATGTGACGACCATGTGGACTTGTCTCAATGAAAGGGGATTGATGGGACCGTTGATTTTACGGGGTAGCTTTTTTTGCGCGTTTTTCTTTGTGTTTGGGTCTTCTAACACCGCTGGTGGAAAAGCAGGACCTGCCTCCACCTCAGATTGGCCGAAGAGGTCGCCTTTACTTATGCGATCTGCATCCGCGGCTTGGGTTTCCGTGTTTGAGACTCGTCATGTGAACTAAGACCTGGAATGGCACCGGGAATGGCACCTCCTGGCATGCCCCGAGCTTGGCATTTATCGATCTGTTTGTTAGAAAGCTGGAGGGTGACTCCCTCTGTGAAAGGGGTACTAGACAAAAATCATCTAACATCCTTCTGTGGGTCTGCCAAACATTTTTTTACAGTTGGAGTTCTCCTCAGGCCACCAGCAGCTGGAACGTGGCAAATCTCAGAAATGACTTGAAATCTGAGACCATGGGCGACCATGGGATCCATTCTGGATGGAAGAAGAATTATTCCTCAAAATGCGGTATATCGCTATGTCCGTTGTCCAAACAACTTCACTTGCATTCCTTTCTCCTTTGCATTCCTTTTTGGCTCCCTGCACTCCCGTCCAATCCGAGGTCGCCACCCTGAGCTCAGCTCTTCGCTTCCGAATCGAAGCATTCGGGTGCTCCCGACGTCTCACGTCTCACCCAAAGGCGTCCGAGCGGGTCAGACGGCGTCCGTCCGCGTCCGTCTCCCGCGCGCGAGTAGGGCACCACTCGGTCGGGCCCCGTCCGCGCTGAAAAAGAGGGCCACGGCGGCACCGGCAGCGAGTAGGGCGGTCTTCGGTGGTGCGGTCGTCGTTGGACCGATGCCGGTCGAGCCGGTTGCGGCGTTTGGGTGTGAAGGTGTCTCGCGGAGTGATCGACGAATTGGAAGGGCAACTGGGCTCTTCCTTGTCCTTTTGCCTTGTGGCCTTACTAGGAGCAAGGACTCTACTAGGGGCTCCTGGCATCACTACTAGTAGCATTCTTACTACTATGTCCTTTGAAGAGACAGACTGTTTCTTATGGAACTAAAGAGGTGGAATCTCCGAATTCCAGCGCCGCTGAACCATTCCAATCCATTCAATTGGCCCTCCAATGTGGTCTGCTTACAATTCCAAACGTCGACTTTTTGCATTGGACCCAAATGCGCGTGCGCTTGTCGTCTAGGGAGTCGTGGCCTGTCCTCCCAAAGCGGGAGTTCTGCATGCTCCTGCAAGTGGCCCATGGTTTCCTTCGCTTTCGGAAGGATCAGAAGGCCTTTGGAGTTGAACCCGCCACCCGCCACCCAAGGGCGACCGCCGCTCCAGGGCGCTTTTCTGCGTTACCGCCTTCTTCCTCCTGCCTTCGACGCCGGCGCCTTCTCGGCGTCGAAAAGGTTGCAGCAAGAGCAAGACCTGCAAGAGTTGGGGCGCACGGAGAATTTGGGCCCAGTTGTTTTCAAGCTTCAACCATAGCACTCCAATGCCTGCCCAGGCGACATTGGCCCGCTTTGGTTGCTTCTTGATCAGCTAGCTTTCCCTGCTGATACAATTGACTTACTCTTCCTCTCTCCTCAACAAGCTCTTCCTAGTCTTGATTGCGTAGCCTTGCCGTAGCAGATCTAAGTAGACCTTAGCAGTCATATAGATCATATAGGCATTCCTTTTCTTGAAGGTTTCCTCTTCCCTTCTGGGTTGGTTTGGTTTGGTGGTAGTTATTGGCTCCTTTTCTTCGTGCTCAGCTTGTCCCTGCTTGTACAATTGATTTCCACCATCCTGCTTTCCTTTTTTGAAAGAGTAGTTAAAGCAACTAGATTTTCAAGAAAGCACAATTCGCTTATTAGCTTATTTGATGACTTGAACTAAGCAGAGCACCAGTTCTTTGTGCGAGCCCCAAACTCAACCGTCGAACAAATCACAGGGGGACGCATTATATTTCTAGTAGCTAGTTATAGTCGAAGTCGTGTTGGAGCCAGAGGCGCGATCGAAAGAGAACATACGACATGCGCATTCATGCAGCAACAAGCTGCAGGGCGCATGGCAATCAACCAAGATGTTTGAGGCTCACGCGGCTAAAGCCCAAAAACCAACTTAAACGCCACCAAACGAACGCAAACAAATCATAACAAATCCAATTCTGCTGTTCTCTCTCTCAGGCTTCACGAGTCTCATCCCTCCTTTCGTTGTAACATTCGCGGAAGCGCTTCATCTTCCGCCACTTCGAGTTCGCTTATCACTCGCGGTGCCCTGTGTGAAACCTTGAGTTTGGAAGGCCCTCCAAATCGTTGGTCTGTGACACTCATGTCTTGGGCACGCCCGAAGAGGGACTTCCAGCTTGAGCGACCCAGGACCCGCCGTTTCGCTTCCGTTGGGGTTGCTCTGGTTGCTCTGCGGATGCTCTGCGGATGCCTGGTCTTCTGTTTGGGGAGGCCACCTGCAACCCATGCAACCCCAGAAGCATTGATTTCACTTGCCAATTTCACCAGGCAATGGCTCTTCCACTCGCTTGATCGCCACAGCAACCGTGCACGGCGTTCTGGCTGCGGGGCTAGTTTCCAAGTCGAAGGCCTTCAGAAGGCCTTCTTGGCAGCTTTGTCGTTGAGGTTTGGTTTTGGCTTGGAACAGCCCTGTGAGAGGTGCACTCAATGGCACCTTCCCTTACCTTTTTTGTCTTGATCTTTTGCCTCTGTTGTTGGGAACCTCGGGCGCCACTTCAGCCAGAGTGTTTCGCATCATCGCGTGCCAGACGCAGTCGCCACGGCCGATGTGGACACCGACCCGGGGGGGTGAAGAACTGCGCGCCACGGGGCCGTCACGGTGCGCCCGGTCTCAAACACCGGGCGTTGTGTTACGCGCGCTGCGGTGCAATGCGGGACACCGCCCTCTTGGAAGGTTCGGAACGGCGTGAAGCGCGACTGTCACCGGTCAAGGGTGTAGGGTTGACTCGCGACCATAGTAGCTGCTAGCGTGTGGTTTTTTGATGTTTTTTTCAGCTTCTTCCATGCCCATGGCCGCCGGGCCGGTGGCGACTACGCCGAAGGACTGGAGGAATCAGATCGAGGACATGGGTCGTCGCCCATGGTGGAGATCGTAAAGGACAAGCCGGACAAGAAGACGGGGCAGTCAGGTGAGTGGGAAGCTCCCGAAGCCAGGATCGCCGCCGCAAGTTCAACGTGGAAATCATGGAATCCAACAGCGTTTCACGGTCAAGGTCACGCAGCCCCTTCCCAAACAATGGAAGATCCTGGAAAAGGGATACCCCTCCCTAACCGAAGTCGGAGCCTTGAGCATGACCCCAACCTTGCATCAGATGAACGACGGGGACGATCGCGTGCGGTGAGACAGTGACCGCGTCTGGGACAATTCAATTATACCTGCGTCATCCTGCGTCGAGGAATCTGGCAGGCTGTGTATGACGCGGTGACGAAAGCAAAGCGGCCGCGATCTCGAACGGGTGCCTCGAAGCACTACATCCCGGAGCTGATGGAGGTGGACTTACTATTCCATCACTGGAGGAGATTGCCAGATGGTGGACATGCTGAATCCACGCATAAGGGAAAAGCGGTCTATACGGCGAATGTATCGAAGCCGGTGTTGTAGCATTCATGCGACGCATTGTTGTCTGCCAATGTTCGTCATCAGACCTAACCCATCCCACAATTCTGCGTATGGCAAAATTTTGCCAAGCATCCTTTGCGCCGATGGGAAACTTCCACGTGTCCTCGGTTGCGCAAATTGCCTGTCAAAGATCCCAAGGTATTTCTGGACGTCATCGCCAACCAGAACTTCAATCAAAACATCGTCCACTTGAATCACCATCGGGGTTCGGAATGCGCATGTCGTCAAGATTTTTGTTTTGCCAAACTCATAGGCGCACAGAGCCTTGGACTGGTGAGACCTGGCTTGAGGTCAAACCACAATGGATTGAGGTGTCTGGTCCACGACATCCTGGCCTTGGCGACTTTGGCGGGGAGATTGGTTCCTACCTTCAACGCCCAGTGGCGACAGGCTACATATGGCAAGACGAACGTGGTCAGCTGTGGGGCAGTGCGGAGGTCCCGATCACGACCATTGCCTCTGGATGGATGTGCCTGGAGGACCGGTTTCGTTCCCATACCCCTCCGACATAATGGCAATGCCTCAGCCGATTTCAGGAGCTCAATGGCGGCAAGTGAACGCCCATGGCCAAGCAGCCCACAACCGGAGATCCTGAACAGAGAGAAAGCCTCACGAGAGACAGGATGCTCCAACTGG